GTGAACGACAGCCACTGACCGACAAGAACAAAACCGACCCGGGAAACTTGGGCAAAAGCCTCGATCCTGTGTATCAATCCGTGAATCCGTGAAACTGCTGGGGAAGACATTCGCAGGCTCCCTGAAATTGCATAAGTCTGTTGATCCTCTCGAGCTGCTGGGCCAATCAGCATTATTCATCCATATTGTACTTGTAAGCGCCTGACAAACGGATAATGAAATTTTTCAGATGCCTCTATACCTCCTTCCTGGTATCCCTAATTTTTTACTTCCACGAAAAGCCCGCGAAATTTGTGATATCCGTGAAACTGAAAGGTAAATCGTTCGGCGAGGCGCGAGTTCCGATTTTTTCGCCCCTCATTTTCACGTTGATGGAGCGAGTCGCTATTTTGGATGCGGGAGCTCAATATGGGAAGGTTTGCCCGACTTGGAGTAAAATTAATAATTCAATCAATCTAGTTAATTGATCGCCGTGTACGAGAACTTCTTGTCTGTTCGGAGTTGTTGCCTATTGACACTACAGCTGAGAAGCTGTTGCAGTCAGGCTACAAGTAAACGCTTTTATAGTTCTATACTAGGTTTTTAGGGCTTTGATTATTTCTGGAAGCCCTAGTTCTGCTGGATCACTAAGCTGCGTGCCATTCGACCTCAAAATATTTGAGTGTGGAGTTCCCGTTCTAGGCATTTGCTATGGAATGCAAGTGAGATCATAATCTTGGTGGTGCTTAAATTTACGATTAGCTTATGAATGCAGCATTTGGTGGACACGTTGCAAAAGGTGAATGTCGTGAGGATGGTCAGTTTTCGATTGAATGCGACACAACTTCTCCCTTATTCAAGTGCGTAACATTATGCTAAATGTACATTGTTTTAGGGGGCTTTCGAAATGTGAAAAGGCGTTGCTCACACACGGAGACCAGTGTGTGACTAGTGGGACGGGGTTCAATGTTATTGCGAAGTCCGGCTCAATTCTGTCAGGTTCGTTTCTCGTCTGCATGTTTCCTAAAACTTTGGTGTCGCTGGATGTCCGTTCTGCAAATCACCGATCGGTTTAGCTTTACAATAATTTTTAGGCTAATTTGAGACGACTGATGTCTGATCTGTATTTTAAAATTGGACCTCACCGGAAGTTCAGATTGCACGGACGTTACCTGAGCACGAGCTATTCAAGTCGACAAATTTTTGACGACCGCAGCTAAAAATGGGAAGCGAACTTGCACTGCTGACACTGGACTGTGTGCCGCCTTCAAAGATAGGTAACCCTGCAAATGGCCCAATTGCATTTCAGAACAAACTGAAGTGAAAAATCAGGTTGCATAAACATGAGGCAACTGGGGATGTTGTGAAAGTCAATCTGTGACAGACGCCGCCAGCCTGGAGGAGTTTTTCGATTTGAGTTTCTGTCATTTGTTGAGTTTTTACTTGCTTTGCCTTCGGTTCATTTGGTCGTCGCCGAAAAATATATCAAACTCTCCTCACTGCAATCGTAGCCCGTACCCTAGGTGATCTCACTTGACTCAGGTTAGAGGCTCGAATTAACTCGAACTCAGGGTAGCTCCGCGGTTGACAGGCGAATTTACTGACCGGACAACCTGGTACTGTGTTTGCCCTCGTGCTTCCTTTAGGTAGCATCGAAGAGGTGTTGAGCGGGAGATCAGATGTTATCATGGTTATGGTGTACTCACACCGTGTTATCTAGGAACACGAAGTGGGCTGGCTGGTTTTCAAGGCCATCAACGGAATCTTCATCGCTGCCACGTGCTGTTTGCACCCGTGGTGTTTTATTGCTTGGCACAACCATCGGCTACACAGACCATACGGACAACATTTTTGCATGCTCGCGCCGAACTTCAGTTAATTTCTGTACTGAACCATCATTATCAGCTGTAAAAACCACATACTTGTCCTGCAGTGGTTGTAGTTGCCACAGTCTCGTTCACCGATGATTCGGGGAGGTGGGGTAGGTAGGTGCGCATTGGAGGCGGGAGCTCATAAATTAGTGCGTAAATACAGCACTGTCAGTGGACCGTTAAGTGGGAAGGATTGGGAAGCGAGCTATACATTAAAGGCAATAGCTTGGATGCATGAGCGCCATTGAGGGTGCGACTGGGTCATGTCTGACATTGTTTCCAGGCATTTTTGTGGCCTGTCTCGGGGTGCCCATCCAGGGAGACGGCAATGACTAGCGCAGCTGGGGTTGCGGTAATGGCTTTCATACTTCGCTGCCAAGTCATTGTTTGACGTTCACTGACTCGTCTCCACCCTTCGTATGATTTTTCAAAATAACCCTTCAAAGAAGTCGGTCGAATGGTGTACGCAGCACGTGGCCGAACCAGCTCAACCTATGCAGTGATCAGTGCATCTATCGTGGGTGTTATTTGTCCCGAAAACCATTCGAACTACTTCACCATTACCGACACGATGTTCCCACCATACTCGGTGTTCTGAAGACATCTATGGTCAAACACTGAAAGTCTTGACATCTTCGGCGCGCAGTTACTGGGTTTCTGACCTATATAGTAATGTGGAGCGCATCGCAGCGCTGTGAACTCGACCCTTGACGGATAAACTGACGTCGCGCCTACGCCACAGGTGATGCAGTTTAAAAAAGTCGCTCTGGCCTTTCCGACTCGGATGGAAATATCATCTTTCGCGAGACCACCGTTGCTGATGCGGCTGCCCAGGTAGTCGAATTAGTCCACTGCCTCAGTCGTATCATCTGTAAGCATGAAACTAGGGTTCTAGCCCACCCAGTCTCGCAGTAGCACTTTACACTTTGCAGATGTGAGGCGCATGCCAAACCATGAGGTAGAATTTTTTTAGATTATTTAATATTGGTTGCATTTTGACGGCGTCAGATCTGCGTACTCGATATTTGTGGGTAAACGCCCCGGGAGCACTTTGACTCCACATGCATTAGAGGCTGGAATTGAGTGTTCCATAACCGTATCAATGACGAAGTGTAAGAGAAAAGACAAAAGAGGACAGGCTTGTCTGACATCACTTGACATAGTGAAACCAGGCGAAAGATTCTCGAAGAATTCCATGCGTCCGCCCTAAGGAGGATTGAGAATTTATGGGGGACAGCTCTGCTCCATAGACACTGCCCTAGTGCCTGGCGGTCCACAGAGTCAGGCAGATTACAAGTCGCGAAGTGCATCCATAGTTGCTTGTCTGAAGAGTTTGCTGTTCTAAAACATGTGAAGTTGAAACTTGATCGATTCATCCTCTCGCAGGACGGAACCCAGCTTATGTTTTACGGATCTCTCCCTGTGCCCAGTTTACCCTCGAAGGGTATGAGTACCTTTGGTACCACAGCTACCAGACGGAAGCCACGATGGTTCTCACACAGTTCGTCCATCCTTTCTGAAGATAGGGATAACTCGTCATTACTCGTCCTGCAGGCTTCTCTCTTCGTTCTATATCGCGCCAATACGTCTTGTTAGATGGGTCACTGAGGGTTCTCCACCCTCTTTCAAGGATGTGGTTACAAATCGTCCGGTCCCGGTGCCTGATACTTTTTTTCATCTGACGGGTGTTTTAGGTTAACATTCCAACCGCCCGCACAGGGTGGGTTTCAGGAGGCCGGCTAATCTGTTCGAAGTGTTAAACCCCTCTTTCCAGTCGACGTGTTTGTGAATTAATGAGCCGCCTTCACTTATCGTTTCACTGACCGCTGCTCTTCTAGGGCTAGTCGATCTTATCAGTTGGTACAGAACATTGGTGCTTATGATAACATAAGCCTTTTCCATCTCCCGAGCTTTGGATGTCTCCCAGAGCTTTCGGTTTCTCCTTAGGATCTTCGCTATTTGACTTTCGAGGAATTGGTGTCCTCCGTCATACTCGTTGCACGTTGATATGAATTTCCTGACATCTAATAGGGATCTCGATGACATCCAGTGGTGTTGTGGTCGAGCAGGAGAGGTCAGACAGACAGCATTGAACGACAACAGCATAGCTCCCTTCACATTTTGCCATGCTTCGTCCACGTGGCCAGTGCAATATTAGTTTACTGTAGAGAGTTGTTGGGCTAGTTCATATTGATATTGTTAGGCTATGGTAGTTCTTTGAGGATAGTGGATTGACATGCTTCTTACTAACTTGTGAGGGCCTGAGGAGAAACGAGCCGCCAGGAATGCACGAACTGTGGTGTGATCAAGTTGTGTGCCCCAGAGGGAAATGCATTCTTGAATTGCGGTTCTTAAAAGGTGGCAGATGACCACGTGATCCAACTGGGTCCACGGTTGGTTTGCAGTTGGTTGCCGCCAGGTTACGCGTTGCGAGCGTTTATGCTGAAAGCTCGTACTGGCCAGAAACAGTTTATGATAAGCCCATAACTGGAGGAGTCGCTCTCCAAGCACCGACTCCGAATCGGCAGCCCAAGAAGCTCAGACGACCGACTTGGGCATTTATATAGCCCGTCGGGATCGCAATGTCAGTGCTCCGTCACGAAGAGACTGGACCTTACCGTGGTGTGACGGTTTGCGCACTTCAGCGATCCATTGAGCTATACTGGAGAGTCCCGCGACACTCACAGAGTCTCTCTCACCAGGTTGACGAACACAGTCTCCTGGCCCTCCAGGTTGGGGGTTGGAACATGTGGCGACCTGTTCCGTAGAAATGGTAATGCATTTGCATTTCCCGCCAAACACCGCTGCCTTGCGGTTAGGCTTTTGAGCCAAAGGCTTTGGTTGAGGACCCTAATCGTCCTCCTGTCTAGGTGTGGGCGCCCTGGCAGTATCCCAGCCCACGTACAACCATGAATTGCACATACACAAATAAACTCATGTTACATCGGCCGTCGCGTGGTGCCATCAGCCGGGTCGCCTTACTTGCTGCATACAGCAGGGCGGGTAAGCGAAAACAGGCTACTGCTGACGCCTCCCTTCTTTCTCCTTCACATACTT